TGGCCGCGGGCAGGCGCACACTCCTGCGTGGCTCGCTCACCGGCAGCAGGCGCGGGCAGGCGCACACTCCTGCGTGGCTCGCTCACCGGCAGTGGGCGGGGGGGCGGTTAAGAAGAGTTTGTTGGCAGCGCCAAGGTTCTTCCCGGGAAGGTCGGGAGCTGCTCAGCTCCGGGTTGCCCCCTATGCCAGACAGCACACACACACCCCCGCCCCCACCTCAAGCACCTTAGACAGCTGGGAGGTGGGAAACCAGCCTCTCCATGCACAAGGACCAGAAATAGAACCCAGGTGTCCTGACCCCCCAGCCCAGCGCCCGACCCCTAGGCCTGACCGCCCCAGAGCCAGCCTCCATCTCCCTGCTGGTGGAACACGTGGCTGCAGGGATGGGCAGGAAGCCAGTCCTGGGTGCCCCATTGCACTGGGGCCAGGGGCCAGCCCCCCCCCCCCCACAGGGGGGGGGGGGGGGGGGCCTCCCCCCCCCCCCCCCCGGCAGGATCCCTGGGGCTGGAGCTCTGGCAGATCCCTGGCCAGCTGTTCATGCCCCTCCCTGCACCATGACTCAGACGCTGCTGTGTACTAAGAGGGTGCGCGACTGTGTGTGTGTCTCTCCTGCCAGCCTGGAGTGTGTGCACGGGGGGGGGGGGGGGATCCAAGGGCAGGAACCTCCCAGGCTGCACCCTCCCCCAGCTGGGGAGAGAACCCAGGAGTCCTGGCTCCCAGCCCCCCCGCTCTAACCCACCAGCCCCGGAACCCAGGCATCCTGAGCACCCCCTGAGCAGACACTAGACACAGATACGCCTTGAGAATTATTCAAATTTCCTTTTTATTTCTTTTGTTCCAATATAGTTTTTTTTCTTCCCCCTTCCCCCCCCCCCCAAAAAAACCTACCACTTTTTTTTTTTTTTTTTTTTTGTTTTTAAAACAACCAGAAAAAATTTGGCAGCAACGAAGAGGATTTTTGTGATAGAAAAAGTGGCGGAGAGCCGGGGTGGGCCAGAGTGGAGATCCAAAAGCGAGGAATGGGGGGCTGATCCAGGCCCCGGGGCAGGGCGCACCCCTGCAGGGGGGCGGGGGCCCGGGTGGTCCCAGCCAGCGTGGGCATCAGTAGTACCGCAGTGGAGTGCCAGGCCGGCGTCAATACTGCGAGCGTCTCAAGTGATTGGCCATCTCGAAGCATTTCTTGTTCACGCAGCCCCCGTGAATGCCCTCTTTGCCCATGACCAGCACTATCGCTGCAGGGGGGAGAGAGAAAAGAGGGTTGAGGGGCCCCCCAGGCTACCCGCTGCCCCCTCCCCACCACGGGCCGGGGATGGAGGAAGACGCTAGTCTCATAGCAAAGGCCGGATGGGCCCCTGGGATCTGATCCACTCAGGTAACCCCTACCCCAGCACGTACAGGAAACCCATGAGTCCCCGCTCCCCCCTCCTCTACCCACCAGCCCCCACTCCCCTCCCAGAGCCAGGGAGGGAACCCAGGAGCCCTGGCTCCCAGCCGCCCCTGCTCTAGCCACCAGCCCCCACTCCCCTCCCAGAGCCGGGGAGGGAACCCAGGAGTCCTGGCTCCCAGCCCCCCAGCTCTAACCACCAGCCCACACTGCCCTCCCAGAACCGGGGAGAGAACCCAGGAGTCCTGGCTCCCATTCCCAGGCAGCAGACCCCAGTCCCCGATTCCCAGTGCCCCCCTGCCAGGGCAAGGGTGAGGACCCAGGCGTCCGGCACTCACTCTTGTTGGTCATGCAGACTGCAATGTTGTAGGTGGGGGTCCCGCCCGTGCTCTTGGTCCTCAGGTCCATGGTGAACTCCCCTTCCACGTGCAGACTGTCCCGAATCACCGAGCACTTTTGGCCCCCGAGCGTCAGCCCGTTGACGAACATGCTGCTACGGTCCTTGGCCACCAGCGCGTTCACCTCCGCCGGCTGGGGTGGGGGAGGGGGAGAGGTCAGGGTCACACTGGGCAGGCTAGGGGAGCCCTGCCCTCCACAAGCCCCACGCCTCTTCTGGCACCAGGGAGAGAACCCAGGAGTCCTGGCTCCCAGCTCCCCCTGCTCTAACCCACCAGCCCCCACTCCCCTTCCGGCACCGGGGAGAGAACCCAGGAGCCCCCAAGCAGCTGCTTTCCATGGGATGGGGGTGCAGCAGCTGGGCCCAGAACAGCTGTCCGCGCTAACAAGCCCCCCTTCTATTCTCCACCAGGAGACACCTGCCCCCCCACTCTCCCATCTGGGTACAATCCAGCCATGCGGGGGGATCAGCCCCACTGGGGGCAGAGTCTGGATTCACACTGGTCATTAATGGGCATTAACGGCCCTGGATTCATGCCCCCAAATCTCCATCCCCCGCTGCAGCCTTGGGGGGGGGGGAGGAGGAGAGAACCAGATCCTCCTCCCACCCTCAGTCAAGCCCATCTCCTCCCCCTGCCCTGCAGTTGGGGGGGCGGCAACCCCCCCATTCAACCAGGCCACATTCCCCTCCCCCCCCCGGCTCCTAGATTTTCATAGTGCCCCCAGCAGTCTGGCCAGAGGCAGCTGGAAGGGGGGGTTCCCCTCCTCCCCCAGTTTGTTGGGGGGGGAGAGGAGAGAATTGAATCC